TTCCTGCTCAGGCAGGCAGTCAGACTCAATGTGATCTGTTGAGGTCCCTTCTGACCCTAGCATCTATGAAATTATAGTTACACAGCACCCTGCAAAAGGATAGTCATGTGCTTAGCAAGGCCTCATAACCAGACTGCAGCTTTAAGTTAAAAAAACAACTTAGGTGTCTAAAATAAGTCTTAAGTACATTTAAGGCATCAACAGCCAAAATTTCTAGCAAAAACCTCACACAACATCTGCCTAATTCTAGAGACGTATCATTGTTTGACCTGACACTTGTTTTGCTTTGTAAATGCCCAAGAACTGGTCAAGTCTGAGTAACTTGGTGCTCATGTCCCACTTAAGTCTAATCAAATTCCACAAGCTATGGCTAGAGCCAGATATCACTGCTTGACCGCCATTGACAAAAAATTTTATGACAGCACAAAAACCAAGAAAACAGACCTCCATCCCCCTTCTTGTGCCACAAATGCCCAAAATTTGAGGCTGTGACAAAGGTGGTAATAGTTTTTGCCACTTTATTGCAGCAGATGGCTGTTTGTTTTATGCTTGCATTTTCCAAGTGACCCAGACAAGTGCTCCCGGGGCCTGATCACGCACACAATAAGAATTTCCACTCAAGATAAGGCCCCTCAAGTCCCAGGAGTTCCTGCCTGGCTTTCTCTCTTACAGAGAAATGCCCCAGGAAATCTCTAAAGCCCATCTCTGTGGCCACATCTACATGAGACGCTGACTACGCAGTAGCTTGTTACTACTGAGCAGTAGCATTGTGTGGCAGGAAGCGTGACACAATGGTACTGTGCAGTCAGCAACACAAAAAAAGCTGTTTGGCGACACTGCTGTGCAGTAACTCTGGTCATTTAGTACTTGTTTATACAAGTACAAGTACTAAATGACTGCGTAGTCAGTCTGAGTCTCGTGTAGACACAGCCTGTAAGCAGGCAACATGTTGCCTGCTGTCCCACAAGATTAAGCCCTGCCCAATACAAGACAATGGGCAACATGCGTTGTGCCCAACAAAGAAGACATGTTACCATAGCCGATCCACGTCATTTGGCGATTTATGTTTATGCCCTAGATCGGGGCCTAATCTCGTAAGTATGACCAAAGCACATTAAAGCACAGCTACCACCTCCCAGAAGAGTTGCTTTAATCCCCAAGGTATAGGCCCTAGGAGGGAGGGCAGGGATGGAATTTCCTTCCCCCTGTTGAGGTTGTACCACTATGCAGCAAAGAAGGCCAAATTCATGGATCAACAAAAAAAAGCACAATAGACAGCATAACTCGGTAGTCTAATAGTTAAAGCTGGGAGAGAGGAGATCTGAGTTCTAGCTCCTTTTTTCAGGGGCTATTTCACTGGGATAATATAGACACGCTGAGAGATCACACTATAAAAAGGTGGGCACCCTCACTGTTGGCAACCACTAACAAAAATTTGAAAGATTTATACTGTCTTCATTGCATGTTTTTATGGGTAAGTAGGAATAATCTATTGAAACAAATATAATGGTTAATGAAAGTTAAGACAAGAAATAAATAGCGCAGGAGCAGTGATTCGGGTAGTATATTTCAATAAAAGGACTGGATTTGGATTGCAAAGCAAGCAAAGAAACAGTTCTCCACTTTTCATTCCCTTTCTTCCCCCAGTCCTGAGGGGAGTTTCTTAAAAGAAAGAATGTAAGACTGATCATTTACCTGAAGAAAGTATGGTGCTCCACACAAACCTTCCATAACCTTTTAGCAGCCCGATGGTTTGGCAGTTTGAACCCAATAGTGCTCTCAAATTGTTCCAACTGGAAAGAATCCACAAACTAAATTAACACATTTCCTTAAAGCTGGTTATTAGCTACATTAGCAGGCTGAGTTCAGACATTTCCATTACTGTGACAAGCAGTAATTTTCCATTCTTGAGATACAAAAAAAAATCAGAGTTTCCATCCTTTTAATTTAATTACACTGGGTAGACTGCTCATGTAGTGTAATAAACACATTATCACTTCCAATCTGTACTAATGATGACTCTTTCAGAGAGTCAATAATGCCTTGCTGTTCTTTGCATGCTTCCTATTTAGCTGCCCAAAACTGATGATGATCATCATTATCATTATTATTTTTAGTGAAAAGGCAACTGTACTAAAAATTGTAGTCGTCAAGTACATTGTCTCCTTGTTCTCCCCCCTTGCTTGATAGCACTCTAAATACTATACTAATTTCAATCTTAAATGGAACATTAATGTCATTCAAACTGCCTAAGCCAAACGAATACATTTATACAACTAAAAGATAGGCAGGTAGATGGACAAAACACCTATCTAAGAATTAAAAAAAACAAACCCCAAGGCTTGTTTGGTAGTATTTTTTACTAGACAAACTATGCAGCTGGAAGAAATATTAGTTTTCAGCCACAAACTGCCCTTCGTCAGGTCTGTGAAAGAAGCAAATATAGCCTAAGATAAATACTAGATTTTACAGTTTCACATGAAATCACAACAAATCTAAATAGGGGGAAACATCATTCGATTTACCTTTTAAACTATCTACAACCAAAGACATTTCAACATTGCTACAGTTTATGCCATTTTATGTACAAACTACTTATATCCACATATATTTAACTGACTTCAAAATGACATTTTGCCTTCAAGTACTTTTAGGTATCTCATTTAATATCTCTTTAAACCAAACAGGATTAAAATTTAAATATCTTCCTTAATCGAATAAGGATCTGTAAATTGTTTTGTAAACTCTAAGCAGTAAAAAAGTAAAACACTTATAAGGTTGTGTGTGCTCTAAAAGCTTCTTTTGTTTAAGGTAACAACAGCAGAAAAGTTTTTCTTAAATATTCCCCATTATTTCACAATCAAAGACAGAGAGAAGTAATTAGCCATGTTAGTTTGATCAGGGAGGGCAGGCTAGATTTGTACCTTATGGACTAACTAATTCAAAGATGTATAAAATTTTGTTAGCAGCATGGGCAGATGTAGGATTTTGAGAAGGGGGGGTACAACAGATGGTATGGCACACCATCAAATGTAACACAACATATTTTTTCTCCAGGAAACTAGGTGCTAGTGGCCTAGAGCACTATTATTCAGTTCGAGATCAAAGCAAAAATAAATACAATTTTATTGGAATGTGCATTAATTTCCTATAGGTATCTTGCTATATTATCAAAACACAACAAATTAGTTAATTCTCAAAAGATGTTGTTTCTTTAATCCTATAATCTTTAGAATTAAACATACATTTCTTTCAGACTCACAAACCAAAATCAAGCCTTCTTGATGAGCACCTTGACCAGGTAACCTAGGCTTCACTGAAAATTATTTCCACACCTGAGTTAATATTTCTAGCTAGGGTTAAAAACACTTTGCAGGGCTGTGAAGCAGGAGCAACATTACCAGGAACAGTTAGCAAACAACACAATTGCAAAAGAAGGAATAGCTTAATCAGCGGAATGTTAAGACCATTACAAAAGGAGAAAGGTTTGTTAACACCTGTGAAATGAAGCGTTTAGAAGGAATCAGGAAGTTAATAATAAGCCATGAAGTCAAATGATTCCTACACTGCTGCCTGAATAGAAATGCTGCTGCCACTGCCAAGCAGTTGGTTTTAAATTGTGGGTGGAATAAGAATCAAAGGGGGCTGCAACAACACCACCACATCCCTCCTCCCATCCTCCCCTAGAAAGCAGTGGTTAGAATACAAAGGATTAATTTTACCTCATCACTTCCTTACCTTTTGTATTCTAATCACTGCTTTCTATTTAGAAGCTCTGCTTCCTACAGTCCCTTCACAATATGCAATAAAGTAAGTCTGTCTTAACTTGTTTATTAATATAACTGCAGGCAATGGAGACAGCCACTACTTACCTCAGCTGGCCTGACTTTGATATAGAAGTTGCTGCGTTTATAGGAGATTTTCAAAATTTTGGGCCAAGCAAAACGATTGATTCTAAGTCTGTCCTTGTAAATGAGTAGACCATTAGCACATACCCCCAGCATGATATCCACACCTTCAGAATCCTACAAAAAAGGGGGGAAAAAAAGTTTTAGACAGAAAATTTACACACTGATTTTACAGGCAGTTAATTATTTTAATACACCAGGAAGGAATAATGAAGATTAAACAGCTTTTATGCTACAAGATGGAATGCAAATAAGGTTCTCAACAATAAGAAAATACTGTTTTTTGATCTTATAGAAACAAGCCTAGGGCTCCTGCAATGATCTGCCATCAGATATACACAAAGATACTTGTTACACACTCCATTATTATGGTGAAAAGACATTAAAAAATTAGATCACCAACTGATCACCAGGAGAGATTAATGAATAATGATAAATACTAAAGGAAATATTAAAGGGAAAGGAATGAAAAAATGCAATGTCTTTAATACTTTAGCTACTTTATGAAATATATCAGATATATTTCCATATGTATTTGGTTATATCTGGTTTTATTACCTACTATTGTGGTAAAGATGTAGAATATAGCATATACTTTGTTGACACTGGGTGCATCTACACGAGATGCTTACTGCAAACTTGCCTAATTAGCTCTGCAGGAAAGTGTCGCCGTTTACATGAGCAGTGCTATTAGGCTGGAGTAAACTAATTTTACTGTACTGTAGGCTAGTACTGCCCAACACAAGTACTATTCTATGGCAGAGTTATTTACTCCACCGCAATGCACGCGTAGATGGTGACCAGAGCTGGCCGGGACATGAGGACACGACACTGTGGGGCTGCCTGATGGCTAGCACTGCACTGTAACACCCTCGCGCTCCAGACAGCCCCTCCACAGCACATTGAGCTGGGCAGGGGCAACCCCAGGCTGACAGGCTGACCCCCTGAGCCTCACGTCAGCTGGGGCTATACCACACCAGGTCAATGTGCTTCAGTCCTGGGCGTACATGTAAATGCTGAGTCCAGGAGCAATAAATTCTTGCATGAACTGTGCTGGAGTTTATTGTGTTGAATTAATTTCACATGTAGATACACCCACTATTACCTTAGCCACTTCAAAGTGCTCATACACAGTGCTTCCCACAGCATAATCATTTTGGTTAAGTGACAGTCTGAGCTTAGTTTAGCAGCTTACAGAAGCAAATATTTACTGATAAGGCGCTCACATAACATAAAACTTGAAAAACTGACTTCCCACATTATAACAATAAATTTTCATGTCCTCCCAAACAGGCAACCAACAGTCGTATGAAGTGCTGACACACTGTTGTCATTAACAGCAGCTTGGCTGGCAGAAGTCTAAAACTGGCAATCTGATGAAGTAATATTAGTTCTTTTCAGAACTTTCATTTGCTACTGTTTCACATGCACCCCCAAGAAACACTACAGGGTAAAAAAAAAAAAAAAAAAAAAAAAAAAAAAAAATTGAGACAAGAGTGGCACGATGCACTTTAAAAGGTTATAGGAATGATCTTGCAGACACATCTATACACCCTCAGCAAATACAAGTGTACATTAGAGATGTGTTTTAGAACTGGGAAAAGGCCACTGATGCTATTAAATAAATATGGCTGCAAGAAGCAACTACTTCCAAAGTGTTTAAAGTTAAATATTTTTAAAATATTTTCTTTTAAGAAAAAAAGTAGCTGTAGATAAACAACATGTATGCTCTTTTTAAATATTGGATAAAATTAGCCCTTAGTTCATTAAATTAATATTGCCACTGACTTTGAGATCATTATGTCAATTGGATAACATGAATTTGTATATTTTTCAAAGTTTAGGTGGCAACAGAATACAAAGATCAGTTCCAACAGCGCAGACCAGAGATGACTACATATGTTGTCTACAACAGTGTAGACCAGGGATGACTATGGTATACTACAAATGCCATAAGTGGCAGGGGCAGCCTGTGTGTGGCACACAGCAGATTGGAGAGGGGGCAGGAACCACAGTGGCAGACAGGGCAAGGAGTAGAAAACAGAACATATTAGACAAGAAGAATAGGGCAGAGAGCAGAAAACAGAACAGACTGGGTTGGGAAAGGGGACTGGAATGGCACTGGTGGTACAGGGCTTACTTTGTGGCATACCTGCCAAAAAGGTTGGCCCCCACTTCTCTAAAATAAAAAAATCTGTACTTAACTCTTACTAGCATTTAAACAGGCAGACACTATAAAGCCATTTAAGACTCAAATTTTCAACTCCAAGCCTCTATCACTAGTATCGAACACTTGACATTTACATTAATTTGTCTGATCTTAAGAATCAGGAACATTTCTTTTTTAACCTGTGATTTTGTGACCACATGCTAAATAATGCCAATATGAAGAAAAATGCTCATGGTCCTCAGACTGGCAAGACATGTAAACTGAATAATTACCATGACTTGCTACACAGCATAGAATAGCAGATGAAGGGCTTAAGTTTCAATATCCTAGATGGCAGGAGCAGTTCCACACTGTCTAGCCATAGGAGCTAAACAGGAGCAGCCCTGCCCTGCCCTGCTATAAGGATCAGGTGCAGGGACCCAACAGCAATAGCTGGGGTCTTTGTATCCCTGGGGCACGTACGACTGAACACCCTCCTTCCTCCTGCCTCTCTCCTCAATCTGGTGCTCAGCACACTCCACCCTAAGGCACAAAACCTGTTAGTTACACCTTTGTCTGCTACAGTGATAAGTACATCTTTCAGAAGAGAGAGTTCAATACCTTGGCATGATGTAAATCCACTCCATACATAGAAAGTCTCTTGGCATTTTCTAGGAACTGAGAATCTGCTTGTGCTGGAGTCAAGCCCCTGGAACCAATAAAAGAAGCCTGAGTTCATTGGCAAAAGTATTAAGGTTTATAGAATTTAATTAGGGTACTTGCATTTAGGGAAACATTTCAATTTGGTGGGTGGGAGGGTCTAAAGGGTGCATTTATCTGGACTGCTCCCTTTGATATCCTTTAAGAATTACCTTCCATTAGGCCATTACCTTCCATTTTCCCCCCCCAAGTCCAACACAGTAATTTGCTTTTTCTTACAAGTAAACTTTGCCATATGTTATTAGACAGAATATATGTTAATAAGGACAAATGACCCTACTAGAGGCAATGGGAGTTTCATTCCTTATACAGTTCAGAATTTTCTCCTGAATTTAGAATTTCTGATAAAATTTTAAATCACTAGAAGATAACAAGAATATTCTTCTCTACTGTCAGCATATTTATTTAAGGAATTAGACACATTACTACATACTCAGTTAGCAGAGGGCATTTTGGTATTTAGCCCTTAAGACAAAGTAAAATGTACATTAGGTTTTTCCTGAAAGCAAGTATGAATTCATTTTCTCCCCATAATGGGACCTGAATCCGATTTGAATGTAAATCATGAAATGGCTCTTGATAATCAAAGTAAATCATTTAAAAATAAATTGTGAAGGTAGCTAGAATAGAGAGAGTCCTGAACAATTATGGAGTACTTAAGGTAAAACTTCATATTTTGAATACTTTCTTCACTCTATTCAAAACACCTTTAAGCAAATGCCACCAAAGTTTGTTAAAAAACAAGTAAAAAACACGCATCATGAATTCTAGGTTCACGTGCTACATACATTTAAGAGCCTCTGATTAAGGCCAGATTACTGCTTATTCTATTTTCAGTCTCTGAATATAAAATTCTTCAAATCAGAGGAGAAAACCCCTACCATTGGAAATATTTATTATTACTACTCATCTGACTTTTGATGGAAAGCTTTCTAAATGGCTTTAATAAACACAAGAACAATAAGGAGAAGAACTAGAGAGACAACTTCTATGAAAGTGTATGAAAAAAGAACAAACCGGTATATGTCACTGCTATAAGAACCTTTCATTGGTAATAAAACGTCAATGTTTTCATAAAATGTGTATTGTCCAGAGAGGATACAAATGGGACTAAAGCATGCAAATGTCATTCCCCCCACACTATGTTAGACATACCTATGTGTCTTGTGCAGTTCAACTACTTTGTCCTCCATCTCTTTTGTTTGATTGGGGGCAAACTGAAATTCACTGATGTAATCACTGTTATGCTCCTCTGGATCATAATCACCTAGCTCGGCCTGCAGGGTATATGAACCAAGGAGGGCATGAGTCACAAACGAACACGGCAGTCGGCCAGAAACAATATCCTGACGAAGCTGTAAGCACAAGAAATATCTGCAAGAAAAAGGGGAAAAAATTAGTTACTTATGGCAAATACATGTACAAAGGTAAACCAAAACATATGGTTCCAAAAGCACTGTTTAAAAAAAAATAAAATGTACTAAACACAAATGCGTAGTGATAAACTTCTGTTTTTGATAGTTCTTCTCCTTATAAAACAGACTTGAATTCAAGTTTTAAGGTGTTGACATATCTTTCATAAACATTTTGAAAAGGTGACAAAAATTCCACTTCCTACAGGAACTTATCAATAGTGCATTTGTAGCCTGTGAAAACAGCTCACTTACCATCTTTGTCATTTTCATTGTCAGGCTTGCAGGAATCAAATTTCAAGCTGTATAAAAAATTAAATGCTTTCCCTTTAAAACTAAAGTTTCATATTAACAACGCAATAATCTATCTAGGTTTATTATCAGTCATTTCTATGCAATCCAGTTAGCTTGTCAAGCTGTGCAACATAACAATACACACCAAATTTACTCAAATTCAAGATAAAGTATTTTCCCCCTAATCAGTATGGGGGATGGAGGGGAGAGCCTTGTCTTGGATTTGAGTAGTGGCCCAGGGCAGGAGGCAACTCAGCGCTGGACTTGGTCCTGGCTTGGAGCCAAAGCTGGGCTGAGCTGCTGCCTGCCTTGGTGCTGGAGTAGCTCATTTGGCAGAGAAGGGGGCACAATTGGGGAGAGCATGGGGGGGAAGACCATGGGGTGTGGGAAGGAACCTACAGCCTTAGCCCCAAGCCCTTGCCTTAGCCCCATGCCTCTGCCTGCCCCCCACCCCTTGCCTCCCTCCCCCTCAAGCTGTCCCCTTCCACCTTACCTTCTGCTCCCACTACAGTCCCTCCAGTCCCAGCCCAGCTGGGAGCTCTTGCCACTTCTCCCTGGCTGGACCAGGGTCATATTGCTGATGACTGCCCCAGAGGAGCAGAGTTGCAGCAGAAAGTAATGGAGGGGCACAGTAGGCAGTGTGGGGAGCAGGCATAGGGGGGTGGGGGCCAGAAGTGGGGAGGCAGGATGCAGGGAAGAGTGTACATGTGGGGGTGGGGGGCAGATACAAGTATGGTGGGAGTTAGGCACAGGCATGGAGGAGACAAAGGCAAGGGTCTGAAGCCTCCCTGCCCCCGCATTGTTTTCCTTCCAATGGGAGGATGACTTTACGATTACCACCCCACCAAATAGATTCTATACATGGAAAGTTATAAAAATATATCATGTTTAATTTATAGAATCTAATTACTGCAGCGGGGGAGGCCATCTTAAATTTGAAATTGTCTTGGATTTGGGTAAATGCATCAGTAAGACAGTGCACAGACATCTCTCTTCAAACTGGTCATATCAACATGAGAATTAAACTGATCTTGTTTTGTAACGTCCTATGTTTTGTAAATCTACATGCCACACATACAAATTGACATGTGATACGTAAGCCCCAATTAAAATTTTTCTTTTCTCCACCGTTTTAAGTGTATAATAAAACTCAAATTATAGGGAATATAGAACATTAAGATGTAATTAGTATAAACACTACTTATATTAACTAAGCACATATTCTAAAAAAACCATTTTTTTTTAAGTTTCACATTCTGTGTGGGCATAACTTACTTTATATTAATTAAATATGGAAACACAGTGGTCTCAAGCTCTACATGTAGTCATATCGTCAATAATGGACTGTTTATCAAGTTTGATTTGCATATATTTGAAATAAAATTTTAAGTGAACACTTCTCGTATAAGAAGTGAAGCAGTGTAAATAGAATTTTTTTCACTTATGTAACCCCCTAAGAAGTTCTAGGATAGCAACGTGTCCCTTGAAAACTGCAGGCTATCTAGATTCCAGTCTATAAAATGAGGTGTGGGAAAGCACAAAGGATTTATGTTATAATCCAAATTGCTAAGGAGAAGTTAGTATGGTTGTGAGTTATAGCTGCAAAGTTATGGTTATGGCTCCAGACCATTTAGCACACTACTACCAAACCCAGTGACTAGAAGAAGGGTATTATTCCAAGGCTCAGATGTAACAGAAAGTCCCAGAAAAAGACTTTCTTCCATGTTAATGCTTGATTCAATGATAAACTCCATGATAAAAATAAAGACATCCAGTGCTACTTTAGATCTGCTTGTTGTACTATCAGTCAAATCTTTATGAAGAGACAGCTTTTTGAAAAGATGCCTAAATTTAATAAGTTTTTTATATTTTCTTTAGACTTCCATAAGACCTTTGTTTCAGTGATTCTTGGGATCTGATGAAGTGATTCTGTGGCCTTAGTAAAAATGCAATGGTGTACTCATAGGACAATTTCCATAGGAACTGTTCAGCAAGGCAGAATCCTGTCAAGACAGTCGCTGAATATTGCATAAGCCACAAGAGAGCTGCAGTTTATAGCACTGAACTGAGTGTCATTTTGTTTTGAGATCTTGAAAATGCTGATGACATTCCCTTGGTGGCTGAATTTGATCTGAAGGTCATTGTCAATGCGGCTGGGCAAGTAGCAGCACACATTGGTTCACTTATCATCCAGGCAAAACAAAATGCAACCATGATAAAAGAGGCAGATGGAAACTGTTAAATACTTAGGAAGCATCATAGGCCATTCTGGGGAATATCTGAGAGTTGTGGATGTTCATGCAGCTGCAGATAACACCATCTTTGGTATCAGTTGCCTTTTTACAAGCATCACAGTGGAAATTGAACACCTACAGAATCATGGCTGTACTAACTTTGTTACTACAAAGTTCTGCGGAAAACTGAGGACCAGGGGATTGATGTTTTGGACTCCTGTTACTAGATACTGAGTGGTAGGACAATATCAACAATGAACCCAGTAACTGCCTCCATCAGCAGAACAATGGTATTAAGGTACAGAATGGATGTGACCATAAAACAACAAAGGATAACAATTCTGGTATAATTCCTTACTTTTTGTATTTGTATTCAACAATACATTTAAAAGGCCCTTGTGTTTGCTTATAAAGAATTTGTAATGAAAACACTTTAGTGCCTTTGAGCTCTCCAGAAGACTCATTCCCTATAATCCAACACAATGGTAGCCTCATAATCCACTAGCTCCCAGCTCTCACCTTTCATAGGGTCATTACCTTTTCTGGTATTTTTTTCTCTCCTCCACTGTATCCATTTTTACTTCCACTCTCCTCATGCTCTGATTTCTATTTTCTCTCCCTTCTTTTTGGCACCTTTTCAGTTGGCCTCTGTTTCCTATTTGTGAACTCTCCAATAGGCTTTACTCAGATCCATTTAATTTTAGGGCAGGCAGAAGCTCAGAGAAATATCAAGAACCCTCGATCTCCAGTACAGCAGTGCAAAATCATCCGAGAGCCAGCTTGAGACTCAGGCCCAGGATAAGTATCTCTACTACCTCTTAACCCTTGAGACTCTGTTCGTATTCTGTATTATTCATAAATATAATTAAGTAAAAGTAAACAAAATAAAACAAAAAAACCCCCTCTGTTTTGAACTTTCAAAATTCAGGATAAAAATTTCTGACTTGAAGAGCAGTAATAAAGACTATAGCAATTTTGAAGTTTTATTTTAAATTGTGCTTACCTGGTAATGTCTTCTGTCAACTGAGAAGGGTCAGGAGGATAAAACTTTACATGAAACGTGAATAGCCAAGGCAAATCTGAAAATGGAAAATGACTGTTAATTCAATGAGAATCTTTTACTGAAAAAGTTAAAACATGCATGTAAGTCATAATGGCCGAAATGCTAGTAACATCAATGAATGCCGAATCAGCAAACTCAAGACATTTTGAAGTTAAATGGTGAAGGGGAATTAACAGAATGGAAAGGTAGCTGTAAAGTACTTCACTTACTGGAGGGGTGGACACACTTAAACCAAGAAAATATTATGTTTCATGAAGACAGAATCAGACATACATTATAGGTTCTCCCATATTAGGAAATACTTTAACAAAATAGTGGAGCAGGTCACTGTGAATGGAAAATAATTTTATGCTAAGCTTTGAAGACTAGAAAACCTAGTCTTAAGAACATTCAGATCTATAAGCAGTTATTCTTTCTCTACACTGAGTGACAACTATGTTATTCAATAACTCATTTGTTTTAAGATAAAGATTTCCTAGTGGGAAGAACAGATCGATCATGTTGGGCAAAAGAACAACAGCAAAAAATAAAACCCCAAACAAAAGACACAAAGCAGAAACCCCCAGTATTTTATAGCAGCCTGTATTTAAGAAGAGTTAAAAATGTAACATATCAGACCCTTTGTTAGTTTTCCTTAGATATCCATAGAATTATATGTTTTGTGTCATATGGCAGCCTTAGGAAACATTATTCTTTAGTGAATATATAGAAATGTCTTAAGAAATAAATTTAAACAGCAAAATAACAGTATGAATGACAGCACTGGGCTTGTCAGTTCCTACACTGTGGGCGTGTCTACAGGTGTATTTATGCTGGCTTAAATTTACAGCGCAGTAAGCAAGAATAGGCTTGTGTCTACATGTGCAGGTGTTGGAGCACATTAACACTATGCGTGGACTGACTTGGGACTAAAGTTAGTCCCAAGTCAGTCCACACACATAGTGCTACTGTGCTTTAAGGTGTCTACATATGCATTAACGCACAGTAACTAAATCGGGCACAAAATTTAAAACCTACATGATGCAGGTATCAAATTTATACTCAAGTCAGTGTAAATTGCTATATTTACTACATAGTATGGGTTTGCACATGTAGAAGCCCACCGCTACTGCGCAGTGATTTTGGTTACTGTGCAGCAAATGTGCACGAGTAGACATGTCCTGAAGACACTATAGAAGATCCTTCTTTGCAAGGGCAAAAAGCAGAAGTTGTTCCACTACTTTGAGAGTAAATTTGGAGAGTTATTTTACTGCATAACTTCAGAATAGAATTAATTGCTTTGACCACATATACTTTAATTCAACTACTTTTGCTCAGATCTATAGATGAACAATTCAACTATTCAGAGTTGCATGCTATACACGGTACCTCTTTTTTAAAGAAGTAATAGAAGTAGCAAGCAGATATAAAATGTAATCTCTACTTATTTGCATACCATCTGCAACTCCCTCCCTGAAAACAAGTAATTCAAAACCAGATTGCATGTTTTAAGCAAGGAAACTGATTTTTTTTCATTCTATCCTTTAAAAACAAGATCTGTGTCTTATTTGCAGGTTTGGTATGTGACTAAATGCAGCATGTCTGATTATGTTGTTCTGAGTGTTACTATTTAGTTCATAGGGTTTTGTGGATAAAGGGTTTAAACTGTAGCCAGTACATCAATGTTGCCTATTCTTAAAAAAAACCAAAAATGTCAAATGGTTCAGATACTGTTGAACAATGTGGGAATGAAGAGAAAATCTCACTTAAATTCACCATCACTCACATGAAGTAAAATCCAAGAAAAAGCTGACAGCTCATCTTTTACTATACTTTAAAACAAAAGTATTTGAACTCTTTTTATTTATATCATGTCACCGGTAAAGCAATAAATATGAAATTGTAAAAGAAATTGAAAAAAAATTATAAGCCGTGTTCTCTAGCATGGTTTAAGAAAGATTTCTGTTCTTCGTTTTTAAAATAAAAAAAAAATATCTAGACTTATTTTTATTTGCCAAAGCATGGATTATTGAAAAACAATGTTTGATATACAAGACAATAGGGTGGGGAAGCAGCCAGAGCTTATCTTCTCAGACCTCTCTGATTTGCACACCTTGTGGCACCCTTCAAAAGATCTTGCATCCCCCAAATGGTTCAGATACTGTTGAACAATGTGGGAATGAGGATAAAAATCTCATTGATTTGTAGCGCCAGTTGAGAATCATTGATCTAACATATGAATAGCAGTGGATTTGGCAAGATATGCAACACCGCTTGCACTACTCCAAGGCAAGAATCAAGTACAGATAAAGAAAGAATGAATACCTAATGGCCATTAATGGATCAAATGAAAATACAATATGACCACCATTTAATACATCACTACTAAATGAAAGCTATAAGCAACTGAAGTAGGTTAATCAATTCTCCCCCTGAAAATTAGCATCATTTTAGTGAAAACAGCTAATGTTTAATTATATTCTAAAGGAAAAGTCAAATCTGCATGAACTTATATAAACAGTGAATCTGAAAATTTTGCTTCAGTTATGGAGAAATGCACACAAGCTTGCAGCTCAAATATCTCAGCCTTCTGTGAGAAAACAATGATGAGTATAGCCTTATAAATGGAACTGCATGAAAAATGCCCAAGTGAAGAAAATCAAGTTTCTACTGAAACACATAAAAAGGCAAGTATAAATACAAATACATCATAAACAAAAGAAGTGAAAGACCACAAAGGGAAAAGTCATCGTAATGAAAGCAAAAGACACCTGTTGAGCTAATTAGTATTTCCATTTTTGGCATATAAAGGATCTATAATTAGTTATTAGCAAGCAGATTTAACTACCAAAGGAAATGAAACAGCAGTTCCCCACTGTTGTACTTCTGAGTGAGGGTTTGAAGTGGTGATTTCGGGGATTCTTTGGTTGACAATTGCTTGCAAATGCAGGGGACTAGAATCAAAGGCCCAGGAGGCCCTTTCCAGTCCCATGTTCCTAGAGGAAGAGGATTCTTCACAATGATTTTTGATATGGTCTCCTAGAACTTGGCTGGGATGGTTCAGTCACGGATGATCCTACCTTGAGCAGGAGGCTGAGCTACATGACCTCATGAAACCCTTTCCAGCCCTATTTTTCTGTGATCCTAATGTGCATCTCTTAGGTTTTATTTCTCTATAAGGCTCAGCACTACAACAGTGCACTGGTTACTTTTAAATCCCGCTTACATGAAAAATGACTAATACCTGGTTAATCTGCAAGGACAGACAAAGAAAAACTGATCAGTACTGTTTCAGAAAACCATGCTCGACTAGTTCTTTTATGCAGGTTTATTTAAAAAGATTTCTACACGGTTTTCTGAAATTATGCTTAGTGTTCTTCCTTACTTACACCTGCAGTTAATCCAGACCCTGGTGAGCTGATGCCTGATCTAGCGGTGTTTCATGTTGTCAAACAACACACACACAGAATATATTCTATTTTATATAGTATATATTATATATTAGGGACAGTCCTTAGAAAGCTCTTAGAAACCAGAAGGCCTCAATTTCATTTCTGTTTAACAGAAACCTATCTTCTGTGTCACGGTAGACTGCAAAAATTCTCAGGGAGTACAAGTCTCTGGAATATTAGGAAATTCCCAGCACATATATTTATTACATATGTTAATTACCACAATTTATTAAGATTCTAAGCCATAACTAGAATTCAATAAATGTGTTTAAAATTACAGATTAACCACTTTGCATCACACAGTCTTCTTGCCATCTTATATTTTTACTTAGTATCTAGAATCTGCCTACTACTGTTCTGAACACGAACCAGTGAATGTATTAAAAGTGTTTGTTTATGGTCTGTTACTTTACTTCTAAATTTCTGTAGCTCGTGCATATAGCAAGGTAACAAAAATTACATATAGTCAAGTTTTTTGTAGTTAACAGTGTATACTTTGACACTGACATTATAAACTGCTGGTCAAGGTAAAAAAATATTCTGATCTTTAAAATATTTAGCATTTTGTCCCTCCTAGGGCTCTCTGTTTTTGATTCTTAATAACATGGGCTATAGAAATGTCAAGAATTTGTCTAGCCAACTTGCTACCTCAAAAATGCTTCAGAAGCAACATTAGACACATTCTTAGAGGAAAAGAATGCATCAACCAACAGTGCACAATTAACATGATTCATCCCATCCACACTGGGTAATAATCAGTGTTTTGTCTCAATAAGGGCATTTTTGTATCTTCTACCATTGACATATACGCTGTTTCCATAGCTAACAGTTTTGGGGCAGTGTGAGACATGAATGAACAAAACTAATGGCACACAAGCAGTTGCAAAAAGGAAACTGCTTTACAATAGCCTCCTCCCCCAACAGTCATCTAAGGACTGGGAAGAACTATTTCAGTCCTTGTTTTTAAAAACCTACATACACCCAGTCCGACCAGCCTACCACCACATGAACCGTTTCCCATCCCTCTTCTCATTCATTTCACCACATTTGGTACAAGCACTATATCTCCACCAATATCCACCACTTTCAAGCTTCTTGTCACTCTACTGGAACTCATTTTATACTAATCTTACCACGCCAACACACAACATGCACTTTAAAATCTTATTTTCCCACTCTGAACAGTGCATTTCAATTCTATTTCCTATTACACTAAGGCTAGGTACAGACATTCAAAAAGGCCAAAGCAATGTAAGTTACACAGTTGTTGGTAGTTTAGAATGGTAGTGAACAAAATGCATATTCGCTCTTTGGTGGGGAAGAGGGGTGCAAATCTTAGATCAGGTTCCGCCATTTTTAAAACCGTCCGTGTGCTGAACTTCTGTTCTAATATGGGTATAGACCGGTTTCTGATCACTTATACTGATAAAAGTATTGCGTCTGTAATTTGCCGATAAAGTTATATAAGACTGTCTTGTGCATCTCTTGATGCATGGGACCTTTATAGCCATTCTTACTAGCACTGAATCAAAATCAAGAGAACTAAACCCCAGAGTTTAAAATCTTAAACCTGCAACTCGCACAG